AAAGTGGGTGAAGGGAGACATTGGACAATGTAAGACATGAAAAAATAATTATAAATTATTAAGGGTTTGTGGGGGAAGGGGGGGCAAAGGAGCTGATACCTAGGGCTCAAGTAGAAAGAAAACGTTTTGAAAATGATGATGGCAACAAATGTACAAAGGTGCTTGACACAACGTATGTATGTATGTATTGTGATAAAGCTGTAAGAGCCCCCAATAAAATGATTGAATAACAAAAAACAAAATGAGTGGATCATCAGCAATCTGGGGAACAATAACATTCTAGCATTTGGGTCCCAAAAGAAGAGGAAAGTGTTAAAGTGAAGATGTATTTAAGAAGGTAGTGGATGCAAGCTTTCCAAATGTGAAAGGCACATCTGCAGATTCAACAAGCGAAACAAGCCCCCGATAGTATAAGTTCAAAGACAGTTTTGTCATGACATAGTTCAGGGGCAGTGACTTAATGTGGCTCTTCTGGCCAAAGTCTCTAATTCCCGCCAAACATTTTCCTGAATGGGTCTGGTAAGAGGTAGGGAAGACATTGATAGGATTCTCCTGTCTGTGAGTAATTGTGAACAGGATTCCCTGGAATGCCATTCTGCTGTGTAATAAAGTGAGCCCTCTGAGAAGCAGCAGGTGGCATCTCATTACTAGCAAAAGTCAGGGGTGGTGTGTGTCCTCGGGACCTGAGATGCCTGGAAAGTGAAGGTTCTGGATCCAGGAGACAGCTGTTAAGTGAGAGGAGCAGCAGCGGAACCAGGAATCAGCATGGAACTGGGATAGGCTTTCCAAGCCGCGTGCTTTCGTGCAGCAGGCTGGCTTGAGGGGTTGGGTGTCTCTGGGCACGTAATTGGGAAACGGCTTGCTGGCCCACGGAAGTGGAGCTGAGTTTCTTCAGGCTGAGGCTTATGAGAGTGAGCTGCCTCTGGGTGTTTAATACAGGGGGCTGAGTTTGCTAACCCATGGCACACGAGCTGAATGTCTTCAGGTTGAGGCTTCCAGGGGAGTGGTATACCTCTACAAGCATTTATTAGCATATCTGAAGGAACTTTGTTTCATGTCCTTCTAAATAACTACCCTGAGCATTTCTCTCTGGCGTTACAACTTATTAACTTCCTTCATAAACCCTTTTAATCATAATTTTGCCGGTGAGTTCTGTGTAGTCATTGTAATGGATATTAGAACCCAATGAGGTAAAATAGCCCTAATTAAAACAACACACAATAATTAAATTTCTGAAAACTAAAGAAATGAGATTTAACAAACAAAAACCTTTAAAGTCCAGCAAAAGGTAAAAAGGAAAAGATTGCATTTGCTATAATGAAACTAATTCAAATTACAGTGAATTTCTGGACTGGAACTATGGAAAGCAGAGGGAGCGGCACAGTGTTTTTTAAGTGCTGAAGGAAAAAGCCAAGAAACTTAGGGAACAAAAAATAAAAACATTCTTAGGTGAAGGAAAACTAATTTGTTGCTAAGAGACATCTCTTAAAGGGTAGTATATGTCTAAAGGAAGCCCAAGTGAAATAAAATGATCAGAGAGAACAACAGGATGGGTGAAAATTGAAGTAGAGCTAATAGACTATGCTTTACCATATAAAAATTTTAAGTCATATTTTTTTAACTTTGAAGCAGAAGTATAACATCATCTGAAAGAGTGTTTAATGCATATAAATAAAGTGTGTCAAACGATTATCCTTAAAAAGTGACTGGTTGTCCTAGAGTTGATTCTCATGATGACCCCATTTGCACCGAGTAGACTGTCCCATGGGTTATCATGGCTGTGACCTTTAGGAAGCAGGCTTTCACCTGTCTCCTGAGATACCTCTAGATGGGATCAAACCATCAAACTGAGATACTCTGCCATGGAGTCAATGCTGACTCATAGTCACCCCTGGGGGGTTCCCAGACTATAATCGTTTATAGGAGTAGAAAGCCCAGTCTTCCCCCACCTCCCCAGGAGCTGCTGGTGGTTTAGAACTACAGACCATATAGATCACAGCCCAACGTTCAACCACTATGCCACCAAGGCCTCATATCAGCTTCTAGTTAAATAATGTTTTAAAGTACAAATAAAATGGCCAAACTATTTCTATCAACAGGAAAAGCACTTGAAAGATTCACAGTATACATCGGTGGAAAGTGAAAGGATTAAAAAAAAGTTGTAACATGCAAACAATCCAAAAAATCGTTGTGACTACATTGTTAGGTACCATCGAGTTGGTTTTGACTCATAGCAACACAAACTACAACAAAATGAGACACTGCCTGGTCCTGTGCCATCCTCACACTTATTCTTATGAGTGTGTCCCTTGGTACAGCCACTGTCTATCTGTGTCTTCAAGAGCCATCTTCTTGTTGCACCTCCCTCAAGTTTACCAAGCATGATGTAAGCTTACAGGGACTGATCTCCTGACATATCCGAAGTGTGGGAGGGTAAGTCTTGCTTCCTCACTTCCAAGGAGCATTGTCTGTACTTCTTTCAAATCAGATGGGTTTGTTTGGGTGGCCTGTGGTACTTTCGATATTCTTTGTCAACCCCATAGTTCAACTGGATCTCGAGTTTTCTTCTCTTTTCCTTACTCAGTTTCCATCTTTCACATGCATATGAGGTGTTTGAAAATGCCATGGCTCAGAGCAGGTGAACCTCAGTCCTCAAAGTAACATCCTTGCTTTTCAATACTCAAAAGAGTTTGGTGCAGCAGATTTACCTAATCCAAGGCCTCATTTGACCTCTTGACTGCTGCATCCATTAATATTGATTGTGGATCCAAGCAAGATGAAATCCTTGACAATTTCCATCTAGCTCCACTTGTCAGAATGTTACCTCCTGGTCCAGTTGTGAGGATTTGAATTATCTTTGCATTGAGTGTAATCCATACTGAAGACTACAATCATTGATTTCGATCAGCAAGGCAGTGAAAGTCAGCAAGCAAGGTTGTGGCATCTGCATATCACAGATCTCAAGCCTTCCTCCAATTCTGTTGCTGCATTCTTCTTTACATAATCTAGCTTCTGACTTTTTGCTCACCATACAGATGGAATAAGTATGCTGAGAGGATACAAACCTGACACATATCTCTCCTGATTTTAAACCATGCCATATCCCCTTGTTCTATTTGCACAACTGCCTCTTGATCTATGTACAAGTACTGCATGAACACAATGTAGTGCTCTGGGATTCCCATCTTTCTCGATTATCCATAGTTCCTTATGGTCCACACAGTGGAGGGCTTTGCATAGTCAATAAAACACAAGTAAGCATGTTTGGGTCACCTCTATTTGAAACAGGTGCAAATATGGATCTATTCTAGACAGTTGGCCAAGTAGCTGTCTTTCAAAGTTCCTGGGATGGACGAGTACTTCCAGGGCTATATTAGCTTGTTGAAACACTTCAGTTGGTCTTCCATCAATTCCTGGAAACTTGTTTTTGGCTAATGCTTTCAGTGCCTTTTGGACTTCTTTACATTCCATTGGTTCTTGCTCATATGCTATCTTAGTAGCAT